AAAGCAAGGGTTCCCATACATGACAGCTTCACCCCATGGATTTCCAAAGATAGTCCAGCTCCTAGGTGGCAAAATTGATGCGAAAAAATGCTTATAAGTTCCTAGACCACACAGAGGTTTTATGTGATGTTTTGATTTGTTGAGATTTGCTCTTGCTGGTGAGGCAGGGGTGGCCCTGAGATAAAAGAAAGCACTTCCCAATACCCTGTTTTAAGTGACATTATGTGTTTAGGAAAGACTTTCCTCTTCTTCTTTTCTTTTTTCTTTTTCTTTTTTTTTTTTCCAGTTTTGTTTCCATCCCTATGAAGAAGATAACAAAGGATGGTATGTCCTCAGAGCACACTGATGTGTCACTCTGGATGCCAATCCCCACAGATGCTCCTGATGTTATTAATTTTTAAAACAAACTTGCTGATTGAGGTTCTGACTGCCTTTAAATTGTCTCTACAAGGAGACTGTGTACTAATTAACCCACAGAAACAATCAATGATGTACCTTTTTCAAGTTTCAGGGTGATTAGAATATGAAAATGAAGAGCACAATGGTGCAGATGTTTTAAAATCACAGCAGACAGCAATTAGTGACATGGGAACCAGCTGCTTATCTCTCCAGATAAAGCCTCTTAATAGGGAATTACACTTGAGGAGCCATTACACAGATGGATCTGCAAATGATTTAAAGAGGGGGCGTTGTAGTATTAACTTTGATTTACAAGCCAGATTCTTGGCAAGATTTATGTGTGTTACCTCCTAAAAAGGTGCATTTGGAGTAGGAGGGCACCATCCCTTTCAGCACTTTTTTGGTGTTGGGTTTTCTAAATGTATATTTTATCTTCATTTCTTTTAAGATTTGTTTTAATTTCAAATTTTTTTTAATAATCATTGTTATTATATTACCGGGCCATTGATTTTGTTGTTGTCATCTCCCCCTAGTTTTTGCACTTGGATTGGAAGCAGCACGTGTGTTTAGATGGAAGCTCAGTTAGAGAATGTGTATACAGACTGAAGCATCCTAAAAGAGTCCCCAGGGGACAGATTCTGCTGCTGGGTACTACTTGCAGAGTAGGGTGCTGCCCCTGATGGGACTGGTACAGCATCATCACCTCAGCTGCAAGGGCTGCAGCTGAATAAAACTACCAAATAAAACTATTCTAGGGACTAATCATATCTACAGGTTGCACAGGACTGGAGGGACAGCATAAAACACACAGCATAAAACCTCTTCTTGTCTGTGACCAGTGATCACCAGTGTATGGGATCTATCCTGCTCACAGTCCTGCCCACCATTGCCAGCACTGAGGCCTGAAACTCACGAGTTTGTCATTCAGATCTTATTCCACTAATAAGAGGATTGTAATCTTATTCTGCTAATAAGAGGATTGTAATCTTAGTCTTATAGTCTGAGGTACAGACATGTGCTAGATCAGGTTGCTCAAGCCTTTCTGCAATTACAGTGCTATCATCTTCTTTTTGTGTGTTTTATTTTCTTTAAAGGAAAATTTTGGATTATTTAACCTACTAAAAACATCCAGTAAACTGTATATGAAGTGAAATACTGACAAAGTATGCTGAGTTGTAGTAAAATTACATGAGTTAATTTACACTTTACTTCCACAGAAGAAGAAGAAGCAGATTCTCAGTGCAGAATACTTGGCTGTGGATGAGAATCCCACTTAATGAATAAAACAAATGACAAGCAGAGGCCAGCACTGAAGTTTGAAGCATTTTTAGGGTCTTATAAACCAAAAAGTAAATAAAGATAAATCCTTCTGTTTTCATGAAAAAAAGCCCACTATTTTTGATGCTGGTCTCAGTTGGCTGCCATAGGAACTCTATTTGAGCCAACAGCCCCATGGAGCTGGAGTATATTACATACTTACTGACAAATAAAGTAAAGAATTTGGGTGAAAGGTATCAAGATATCAGTTTCTTAAGATTCCCTCACATTCCTGACATCTGACATCTCTGTCAGCAAAGCAAAGTCTTGGTTTAGCTGAACTAGGCCTTATTGGCTTTTTGGGATGATGCTCACACAGCAGGGAAAATTGAAGCCTAAGCATTAAGACCAATGGGATCAAACAGCAACACAGATGAATACATGGGGAATAAAATAAACTTGGCCACATTACTTTCCGCTGATTTAGTAGTGTTTTTAGGTAAACAGTCCCCACATATCCATTTCAGCTACTGAAACCCCAACCTGCTGCAGACAAATTGCCTCTAGTCACTGTGCTGCACAGGAATTATTTTTGGGTGGTATGGATATGTCTGGAAGGGTAGAGCCAATAACCGTTAAGCTGGAAGAAGTTTCATGAGGAAACCCAGCAGACTGTAATGTGCTTGGGCAGATATATAGTTCTGACATCCTGCTTAGGAAATGGAGTCCTCTGATCCTGCAGACCAGTCATTTTTTGAAAGCCTGTTGAAATTGGAGTGCTTATCTGTGTGATTAAAGGTCTCCAGAGCTGGCACCTTTGATGACATAGGCATATCTTCCTCATGAATTTTAAGATCGATGTGGTGGTGGCCTGTGCTGCTGGAGCAATGACAGAGCTATCATCAGGGATGTGCTGGGAGTTGTATCATCACTATGTAATGTACAGGCCAAAGAAATGAGGCTGGAGGAGCCAAGCCATATATCAGCATTCATCACTGAGCTATAGCTGGCCTCTCCATTCTAAGCCCTTATTAAATGCCTTAAAATACAGATCAGAGATTATTGCTCCTTCTAGACCATGGATCTCCATGTGTGTGATAGATATGGAGGGAATAGGATGTTGCCAGAGTGTGATGTTTTTGTTCCCTGCTGTAACCTTCCTTCTTATTTTTATCTTTTTTTTTTTCTTTCTCTTCCAAATGAAATGTTTCATGTCATTTTGTTTCATGGCTCAGCACTTAGAAGTAACATGGGCGTAAGAAGCTGGTTTGGCTGCAGCCAGCAGGCTGGGATCTGTTCAGAAGCAGCCTGGCCCTGCCTCAGTGTGGGTGCTGTGGCCCAAGAGAGGCCTTAGCCCAGCATTTCCAGGGCTTCTTCACATCACTGGTACCTCAGGAAAATGAAATCTTATGTGAGGTTGGAATGAAGCATAGCATCTCCCCCTGGGATGTCACCAAGGGATGGCCTGCCCATCTCCTTGTGCCAGGACACACAGCCTTGTGGCTGGGTAGCAGGAGAAGCCCAAGTGGCCCAGGCAAAATGGATCTCAGGAGCTTTGGGATCAGTTTAAAATGATTAAAATAAAACAAGCTGTAAATTCAGTGCTGGTACTGCCTGTTTCTCCTCCCTGGACCCATCCTAAGATACGGGTGTGGATGGGCCCCCTTTTCTGAAGGAGGGCATCAGTGTGGGCTGTGTCCTCTGAGTGCTGCAGGGGTTGTGTGTGGGAGGCCATTGTGAGGAAGAAGGGGAGAAAGATTCATTCCCCTATTTATGCTTTCAGTTCTTTTCTCAGGCTGAGGAACCAGGTGTCACTCACCCACAACATCTGCAGCTCTACCACAGCTGCATGCTTTCGTTCTCTCACTCCACAATTCCTGGAAATCTCTGTTTTCCCTGAACATGACTTGTCCATGTGTGTGACAGCTGAACTATCCACAGGATTTAAGACTCCCTGATTGCTGCTCAGACAATGCACCAGAACAACTTCATCGTTATTGCCTATTCCAGAAAAGCCACATTTCTATATTTATATGGGCATGAACGATAGTTCAGCATCAATTTGTCAATATTGTGCATGTTTAGTGGCCACAAAATTATGTGCCATGGGCTTGTGTTTGTCTTTTCAAACTTTTCTGAACTTGCTCAGAACTAGGGACACTTAATTTTCCTAACTCAGAGTCCTCTTATTCCCTTTTGCCTGATCAACCCAAAATTTCTGTTGCAAACACCCCAAAGACAGATCTAAAGGGCTACTGATAGAAACCTAATTGCAAGAGGGTGTTTGTAGGATCACAAAACATAGCATTTATTATCTACTTTTCTTTCCTTGGTTTTGTTTTTATTTTCAATCTCATATTTTATTTGACATTCACAACAGCATCAGTAGTTTGTACAAAAGCAGTTGTACGGTCTGACTCAGAGCTTTACAAAATAAAAGTTACAAAATAGAAAAAACCCCAAAACAGATCAACCAAAGAAAGTAAAAAACAAATAGATTGATACCTTTGCTTTAAAAGGAAAGTTACAGCTGAAATAAGCAATTTTTTTTTTAGCTGGAGGCCCACCAAGAGAAAAACAGTAGAGTTTCTTTTGCTCCACAAGAGTCTTCAGCATAATTCTGCCCTTGCTGTAACCTCTGCAGCTTGAAGAGCTCCTGTCAGAGTAGAAATCATGTTGAAAATATCTCTCACCAACATTGCAAAGCAGAGTTTTAAAATGGAAAGGGAGTAATGCAAATCTTGAACCTGCCAAGTGTGCCTCACACACTTGATGCTATGCATATGATTTTAAGCACTAAATATGCAGGGATGGCTTCCATGTGGAAATTCAAGTAAATCTTTGCAGAATCTGCCTTCATAGGGAAGTGGACCCATGGGTTTTCCTCTTGTTTGTTACAACTTCCAAGATAATTTTTTCAGTTTTCTTGTTTACAATAATGAGTTTAATTGCCGCTGTTGAGCCTCAAGTTCTGTGAGTGATTATTTTTCAGGAAAAAGGCATTCTCACCAGGAGGCTGAGTTGCACCATTCATCTATTGAAAGGGAATATTTCACTTGTGTTTTAAATTAAAAATCAATAGAATATGTTCCCTTAGCAATTTGCATTTATATAAATATTTCCACTGTTTTTAGAGTAGGGAAACCAAACAAAACTTGTTTACTGTGCATGAAATCTAAATGCAAATTTGGCTCAAGTATAGGAAGATTTTATAAAGGTTCCTAACTCTTACAAAGTCATTGTTGTTATTCACTGCATAAATAAAGAGATGCAACCAGTGGTTATGAATGGGCTGCAGCTAAATTAATTGTATTTTTTCCTCTTTATTTTCTGCTTCCTTCCAGGTTTATGACAGGCCACAAAAACATTCTTCTCTGCACTATGATCCAGGCCTCCAACAAGACTTCACCAGTGACACCTTAAAATCAAAACACCAGCAGAAAAGTAGCAACCAGCACCACATTGACTGGTCAGCAAGCTCCGACACGGGACCTGCTTCTCAGAGTTGCTTCAGCAACGCAGAGCCCAGTAAAGAAGCAATTAGTGCCACCAAGGTCTCTGCTCTGGATCCAGGAGTTTCCTACAGCAAATCCCAGGCCAAGAAGTCCTGCAGCAGCAGCAGCAGCACATGGGGGCAGCTGTCGGTCAGTAGTAAAGAGCTGGCAATTTGCAGCACAGTCCCGTCACCCAACGGCATCATCACAGCCGCCCATCCGAGCAGTGCCTCCAAGTGCAATGGGCTTTTGCCTCTTGGAGACCAAGAGGGAGCTGTGCAGCTGGAGGGCCCCGATCAGCCTGCTGGAAGTACAAAGAAGAAGTCCAGCAAAAAAGACTTGATGAGCCAGACCAACCAAACCACAGATATGGAGTGGGTAAAGAGTGCTCAGAAAGCATTTGACAGCAAATCCCATGACAGCATGGAAGGGAAAAAGGAGTCTTACTCAATGGACACCATGTTGGATATGTCACCCTCAAAGCAGAATCTCGTTTCTGCTGGCACTTGTGAAAGTGACACCAATCATGTAAGAATTACTATCCCAATAAAGTCTCCAACAACAGATGCATCTGGCCACAAAAGGAAAAAGAGGCAATCCATTAAATCCACCACAGAGAAAACTATCCAGGAAAAAAGCCTACCTTCCGTGCTTGCTTTGAGCAGTGAAATGGCAAACAGGACCAGTTCTCAACCAGAGGGGAGTAAAAAAGATGTTCGCGCCACAAAGCCAGGGAAAGTGATTGAAAATGAGTCCCCCCCAGTAGCAATTGACAGTGGTGTGTTCACAGACAAAGCTTCTCCCAACAGTGCTGCCCGACCCAGAAAACCTCTACCTGTGACATCCAGTCTCCTACCCACCAGTCTTTCCACAGCTGGTAAATTACCTGACATCCAGCACCCCAAACATGCACCTAAGCGTAGGTGGACCTGCAGCAAACCTAAATCTATTCTTCGGGAGACCTCCCTGACAACGTCTGAGAAGCTGATGGTGGAGCCTCCTTCAGCCTATCCCATCACACCATCCAGCCCTCTTTATACCAATACAGACAGTCTTACTGTGATCACACCTGTCAAGAAAAAACGAGGACGACCAAAGAAACAGCCTTTGCTCACTGTAGAAACCATTCATGAGGGGACCTCCACCAGCCCAGTGAGCCCAATCAATCATGAATTTCCAGGAACAAAGAAAAGGAAGAGGAGAAGGAATCTGGCCAAGTTTGCCCAGATGGTTCCAGGAGAGGACAAGTCCATCAGTGAACTCAAATTTCACAAAAAGGTAGGGAAACTTGGTGTCTTGGATAAGAAGACCATCAAGACCATTAATAAAATGAAAACCCTCAAGAGGAAGAATATTCTCAATCAGATCTTGTCCTCCTGCTCCAGCAGCATAGCTCTGAAAGCAAAAGTCCAGCCACCATCTAGTGCTGGGCCAACAACCATTGATGCCAGGCTAGGGAAGCAGATCAATGTCAGCAAGAGGGGGACTATCTACATTGGTAAAAAACGGGGCAGAAAGCCAAGGGCAGAGCTGCAGCCTCAACCGGAAGAACCTAAGACAGCCATCAAGCACTCAAGGCCTGTTTCCAGCCAGCCAGAAAACCCAGCAGTGCCTTCCAACCTGCAGTCACTTGTGGCATCGTCACCAGCAGCTATTCATCCGCTTTCAACACAGTTAGTGGGGATCAATGGCAACCTCAGCCCTGCAAGCACTGAAACTAATTTTTCAGAGTTAAAAACTATGCCAAATCTTCAACCTATCAGTGCTCTTCCTACAAAAACCCAGAAAGGAATGCACAGTGGAACTTGGAAGCTGTCTCCACCCAGGCTAATGGCTAATTCACCTTCTCACCTCTGTGAAATAGGTTCTCTGAAAGAAGTCACGCTGTCTCCAGTGAGCGAGTCTCACAGCGAGGAAACCATTCCAAGTGACAGTGGGATAGGTACAGACAACAACAGTACCTCTGACCAAGCCGAGAAAAGCTCAGAATCCCGCCGGAGATACTCCTTCGATTTCTGCACCCTGGACAATCCAGAGGCTATCCCATCTGACACCAGCACAAAGAACAGGCATGGTCACCGGCAGAAGCATCTCATTGTGGATAACTTTCTCTCTCATGAAAGTATTAAAAAGCCAAAGCACAAGAGGAAAAGGAAAAGCCTGCAGAACAGAGATGACCTCCAGTTTCTGGCAGACCTTGAGGAACTCATCAATAAGTTTCAAGTGTTCAGGATTTCCCATAGAAGTTATACATTTTATCATGAAAATCCATATCCCAGCATCTTCAGGATTAATTTTGATCACTACTACCCTGTGCCATATATCCAGTATGACCCATTGCTCTATCTTCGCAGGACCTCTGATATGAAGTCTAAGAAGAAGCGTGGTAGACCTGCCAAAACCAATGACACCATGACAAAGGTGCCTTTTTTACAAGGGTTCGGTTACCCTATTCCCAGTGGGAGTTACTATGCACCCTATGGAATGCCTTACACATCAATGCCTATGATGAATCTTGGTTACTATGGTCAGTATCCAGCTCCTTTGTACCTGTCTCACACGCTTGGAGCGGCTTCCCCATTTATGAGACCTACTGTGCCCCCACCCCAATTCCATGCAAGCTCTCATATGAAGATGTCCACCACTGCCAAACACAAAGCAAAACATGGAGTGCACCTACAAAACCCTGTGGGAATGGGCCTTGGAGACATGCAGTCCTCTTTGGCTCCTCCTAAGGTTGGAGGAACAAGCCTTTCAAGTGGCCGACTTCACAAAAGGAAACACAAACATAAGCACAAGCATAAGGATGAGCGGATATTGGGGACTCATGAAGATCTAAGTGGTCTCTTTGCTAGCAAGTCCACTGGCTTCTCCAGCCACGCCATCAGTGAGAGGCTGAGTGGCTCAGACAAGGACCTGTCCTTGCTCAATGAGAACAGCAAGCATAAGGAGAAGCAGAAGCACCAGCATTGTGAAACCGGGCACAAAGGCTCAAAGAGTAACTTTGAAGTGGATACGCTGTCTACACTATCACTTTCTGATGCCCAGCAGTGGTCACAGAGTAAAGATAAAAGTGACTCAAGCAGTGATCCCATTGACTCTTGCACAAAGAGATACTCTGGTAATACTGAGAGTAATGGAAGGTCAGAGTCCCTGGATATGTTTGGTGAAATAAATTCCTCAAGTGAGAAGCGGGACAATGATGCAAGTGGGAATAAAAGAAGAAGCTTTGAAGGCTTTGGAACTTACAGGGAAAAGGACATTCAGCCCTTCAAGACAAATAGGAAGGACAGAAGTACTTTTGATTCTTCAGCCTCTTCAGGTAAGCTTTGTTTTATTCTATTTTACTTCGACTATTTACTGCATTTAAATTTCAGTGATGAACAATGAGGGACTCACTGTTTACAGCAAATACATTTAGAGATAATTACTTTTCTGGCTTTTGTAACTGACTGTCATTTTTCATCCAAACTTAGGGGAGAGCAACAAGAAAGTTGGCTTCATCTTAAGCCCAAAGTTTTACAAGTCTTCAAGTTGTTACACAGCAATTTTATAAATATTTGTCTTGCCGTCACATATCTCTCATGGCTTGTTGCACTTCTCCCTAAAATCTGACCATTGCATTCTGCGACAGCAGCAATTGTAATACCTGTTAGCAAGGTGGTAATTCCTCTAATCAACCTCTAACATCACATGATCTAAGTGGCTGTCCAACGTCTGGGAGAAGAGCAGAGAGTCTCTGCTCTGACCCATTAAGTGACCAAAACCCATTTGTTGATGAGGTGGACCAGACAGATGGGAAGCTATGAAGCTGTCTGTGTCCTTTAATGTGTTCTACTGCTGATCCAACCTACCCACTGGGCTGAATATTAGGAGATCCTGGGTACAGTCCTAATGTAAATTGGTCACTTTCAGTCCGCAGGTGTCATGTAAAATAGTTATCCTGAGAATTGAGTGGGAAAGGACCAGTGTCATGGAAACAAACCCTCTCTAATGGACTCTGAAGAGTTTTAGGTCTCATGACTTGGAAATATAAGCTGATAGAAGAAAAGGAAGGAAGCTCCTTTCAGCTGTTAAGAACATCTGTTTCTCTCCGACAGAGTGGGGAAAAAAGGAATCTGAATCTTGCCTGAGAGACTGAATTGTACTTTACAACAGGGAGCTGCTTTTGTGATGACACAGAGACAGGTGTTTTGATGCATTACAAATGAATTTAGCTTGGGAGCAAGCCCAGTGCTTCTACACCATCAGATATTTATCACAAAGCAGATTTCACACTTACTTCTGGAAAGGGGTGAGCTTTTCTGAACCAACCAGTGGTGGATGAGATTCCAATGTGCTAAAAAAGAGCTTCAAAGAAAAGTAGCTGATAGCCCTCAAAATTAAAAGAAAATTAACTGAGAACACAGGAGTAGAGAATTTGTATAACTTGCCAATGTAAGGCTCTAAAGTTTTTTACTGACTTGTAACTGATCAACTTCCAAAGACTGCTCATGCTTAAGCCACCTAAACATTACCAATTCCTTCACTGAGACCAGAATCTGAAATACAGTTGTGAAAAATGGTCTGAAATGACAGATTACCCCAAGAAAACATTCCCATTCATGATATCATATTATTTTAGACCAGTTGTGACATCAAAAAATGGTACATCCAAAAATATAGGAAAAGAGATTTAAATAAGTCTCTGAACATCAGAGTTGCAACTTGCCTGACAAGTAACAAAGGTATTCTCCACCAAGTGCTGCAGTGGCTGTTTCATTAAGGAAGCTGTCCTGGCACATAGTATTAAAAGGTTTCAAAGTGTTTAACAAGCTTATTTTTTTTTTAAAGTTCACATTTTTCACAGTTTGTTAACAGCCTTTGCATTTGTAGCCTTTTTGCTCTTTTAACAAAAGATATTTGCTAAATCTGTAATTTTCAATATATTTCACTAAGGCATAGTAAACTGTCAAAATTCCCAACAGTGCTGAACTCAAATTAGTTTCCAAAGTAGGGGCATGATCCTCACCAAAATGATTTGAAGATGGAATTAGTAAAGAAAAAGTCAATTTCATGTTATTTTCCTTCAGTTTATTCCCCATGACAATAAAGTCTAAGATGGAGGCTAGAACTTGTCATGGGAATGCCATTAGATTTGCAGTTTAGACTTTTTAAACTAGCTCTTGTTTAAACTGAAATTCTTATTTTTATTTATTTTTTCTCTTCATGATTACAGCTGCACAGCATTCCCTATGACCTAATACATCAAACCTCAGATTATTAAACTATTTATTCATTGTCATGCTATTATTTAGATGGAAAAATCATCAGCAGTTAGCTAAGCAGAGCCAGATAACCAGAGCAATACCTTGCACTACAAGGAAAAATACTAAAACTAGACAGCTGTGCCAAGAAAGGCCTGGAGCCAAGGCTGCTCATTAAAGCCTGAAACATCTGTCTGCTTATGAATGCCTAAGATCTCAGTGCAGCTTTTTCCTCTCTGCCTTTGACCTTCACTGGGATTCCCAGCAGAGGTCTGCACTTGAGTCTAGCCATAACTATTTAACCAGTTCGCACAGAGGGAGGATTGTTCTTTTACATGATAACCTTCACTTTCTTCCTCCTAACCCACCTTGCATTTTCCTGAGGAGATTGACTAATCAGAAAAATATAAGGAAAAAAAAAAAAAAAAAAAAAAAAGCCCTATGGAGACATATACGTCCATCCCAGCCATCCCAGGAGGCAACTTCCATAGCCTGATTGCTCTTCTCTTTCAGTATTTGTCATCTTTCATGAGTTAAAAATAATATATGACAGATCTAAGAAGAGACATTCTGAATATTCAGATGAAAGCTGAAATTAAATTTATATCACAATTGCAGTATTATCTCTACTGTAGTGGCATTTTGATGTGACATTTGAAGTTGCCATTTGCAACTTCATTGCATTCTTCTGGAGATAAAATATGTAGCAAAACCTACCCACGCTCAGTGCATGTAGCTGTGATGACAGGGAAGAGAAAACCATTCATAGTTTTTTGGTGATTCGGGTACTGCAATTTGTTTCAGTGTGGTGTGCAACTGCAGGTACCATAGTATTGTTGATAATTTATGTTTTTGTCTCTGTTGTGACAGTGCTTATCGATTTCTGAGAAGTTTGGTGTTCCTTGGTGATAAACAGCGGCCCTGCTTATGTTAGAAAACAGTCCTGTTATAGAATCTTTAAGCCTAGGTATGATTTTACTATCTAGAAAGATATAGGCCATGAAGGGAAGAGTTGTCCTTCATACCTTTTGGAGAAGCTGTTTGCAGTCCTGGCTCAAGAAAGGTACCTGGCACAGGTTTCCCAGAGAAATTATGGATGCCCCATTCCTGGAATTGTTCATGGACTGGGTTGAGGTGTCAGTACTTGTGCTAGTGGAAGGTGTCCCAGCTCAGCCCAGGAGGTTTGGAAATAGATGACCTTTAAAGGTCCCTTCCAACCAAATTGTTCCATGATTATGTGATTTGATGTGGAAATCTGTGCTTCAAATGAATGGATCCATCAAAAGAGTGTGCCTAGTTACTTTGGATGGTCACAGCAAAAGTTCTTGTCGTTCACCAGCCTGGACTATCACTGGCAATTCTTTAGTGGAGACCTTATGAGCTTTCAGCCAATGTACATCTTTTGGGACTACTGTGGGCTGAATGTGCACTAAGTGTTAGTGCATATGGCTAATCTCCCAGCAGCCTGTTTCCACACCATTGTTTGGAGAAGCTGGTGATCCTTCCTTCCATAATAAGTTAATAACTCTTCCAACCCACTCCTCATGTACTGTTGCATCCTGGTGTCTTTTTCTGAAATTGTTAATTTGCTAAATTTCTTATGCTCATCAAACCCTCCTGCATTTAGAAAGACTAATTAATCAAAACTGATTTAACAATTCTTTTCTATTTAGCTGAAGACTATTCCAGTGGCATTAGCCTGGCCTACAGGCAAGAATACAGCAGAAAGTGTTTCAGATTCTGCCTTGCCACAGACACTTGGGCACATCCTAGACTGAACTGTCAAGCTGTGTGCACCAAGGATTGGCTCAGTTGACTCCTTCCTTCCCACAGTCAGATGTACATCTCAAAACTCTTGCAAAACTGTCTTGGAGTCCCTCTGGCACTGTGTGACCTGAGGCACTGTTCACAGCTGGATGGCTGAACCTTCCATCTGCTTTTCAGGAGTTACTGAAGCCCCAGGTGAGGGACCCAGGAAGAGGTCACAGACTGGTGCTGCAGCTGGGCTGTGGAGACTGAGAGTAGAGCTGTTTTAAAGACGCCCTTGTGGCAAACTCCACAGCTCCTTGTCATGTGTCTGTCTGTTTCAGGATTCTTGAGAAAAGACTTCCATTGCTGATGAGCAGTCTCAATTCCAGAGCTTGTCCCACAGAAAAAAAGCAAGATTGTTTGTCTCTTACCTTTGTCCTTAGGTGAATAATGATGAAAAGCACATTTAACCTTTTAAGACGCATAGATAAGATGGCAATTTGCATGTACAACCTGTCAGATTATGTCCTAGTTACAATCACTGCAGGCCAGGATGTAGCTGGAGGTGAAGCAGAAGTTGAGAGTTTTATATTCAGGGCTACATTTCTGCTTTTCTTTGTAGTGAGACTAATCAAAGTCTGTGCTACCTTACTATCACACTATTTATGCCTCTTTTTTTTTTTTTTTTGTTAACAATGATTATATGAACAAAGATTGCCTTGCTTGCGTGTTGGGTATCATGGCTCAGAGATCAGCTAGGAAATGCATTGGTTTTATCAGCTACAGCATAGATACCACATATAGTATATTTACAGGAATATAAAGTTAATAATATGCAGCTATTAGGAAAGCAGTAATCATCAGTCTCTAAATGCTGGATAGCTAGCATGAAAAACACACTTTATAAATTAATGCTTAACTTACCTACAAGCCTCCCAGGCTTTCTCCCCTCAATGTCTAGCAGTGCTACAAGCTGATTTTCTCCTTTGACTTGACCTTTCCTCCTCACTTTGCACGGTGCTGGTTTCACTCTTGAAGGAATCAGTATCAGCTTTAACCCTGATCAGTCACAGTTTTACACTGAGAAGGGATCAGTATCTCAGTAGTGGATAAGCATATTTGTTCTAAATGTATGTGGCAGATGTAGGTAAAGAGTGTTAGCCAACTGCCTTAATAATTAAACTTTGCTGATTGTTCATATGATAATACTTTCCACAAATAATTTATTATTTTTCATAGGTCTGGAATCACAATGTTGGTTCCTTTTTCTTCAGTGAATGCACTATTTCAGTGAGAGTGGAAACAGTAGGACCACACAGTTTGATCC